AAACCAGAGGTAAATATGTTTATTATACATATAATTTAGTGCATCTATCATGTTATAAGAGTTTTCATATTTTTGATAATATTATGTGCATTTTTATATGTAGATTAAATGTAATCAAATGACTTTGACGGATGCCGAGAAAAATGCTCCTTACATGGTTGACATCGATTTGGATTTGTCCTTGGGGTTGAAGTATATCCACCATGAGTCTTGGAAGAGCAGTTGTGACCCTTCAAACAAGAAGCTACAGAAAAATAAGAAAAATAAGCGCAAGGCTGTTGCGTCGACGCAGAAACCTTTGAAGAAAGCTCGTGGTCTTGAGGGTACTGATGGTGAGGAAGAAGAGATGGTGAGGGAGGAAGAGAGGGAGGTTAGGGAACCTGAAACTTCGGGAATGGACAAGGATCTCCTCAGAGCATTGATAAAAGAAGAAGTCTCCAACTGTTTGAAGGAGTTGGTGCCTTCGATAGTTGAGAGAACTTTGAGACAGATCGTCCCCGATGCCATTAAGCGGGCATTTGAGGAAGCAAGGAGAGCTGAGAATGATTCTATGTCAGAGAGACATGTGAGTACAAAGCAAGGAGATGAGAATCCTTCAACTCCAGGAGAAGCAAGTGACATACCAGAATTTGTTCATGTGGTAAGTTTCTTTTGACACTTAACATGTTCATTTTGGTGGATTATAATTTAACATGTTTATTTTGACATTTGTAGATTTGTTCTGGTAGAGTTATGGTTGTGAGAATATTTGTTATGGTTGTTTTAAGCATGCACATGATTTGAATGAGCTCCCAACAACATGATGTTTTGTTGTACTTTTCTCCTGAAACTAATATTTTATGTTCCAAAAACTCTTAGGTGGTTGATAACGAGGCTGAGACAGAAGAGAAGGAAGATGAAGAAAGGAAGGAAGCAGAAAAGAAGGATGAAGAGGAGGAAGAAGAGAAGGAGAAGGAGGCTAAGAAAGAAGAGGAGGAGAAAGAAGAGAAGGAGAAAGAGGAGAAAGAGGAGGAAGAGGAAAAGAAGGATGAGGAGGAGGAAGAAGAGAAGGAGAAGGAGGCTAATAAAGAAGAGGAGGTGAAAGAAGAGAAGGAGAAAGAGGAAAAGAAGGATAAGGAGGATGAAGAAGAGAAGG